CATATAGGTTTACAATATTACAATATACACTAAAATAATAAAATGAGAAATTATAGGCACAACTACACAAGATATATCAAAGGCTCATAGTCATAATAACTATTATGTATGACATTTAATAAAATGTGATGATCTAAATTATTTAATGTACCATGCACGTTTAGGTATTTTTCGTTTCATTTTTTGTTGCTAATATTCCATTGTTTTTTATAAACTATGAAATATATAATAATATAAGTTTATTAAAATGTAACCATGTAAATTAATAGACATACTCACATACCTATACGAATATAGTAGGTACAACTAATAAGTTTTATTAACAATATAAGTACCTATCTAATATGTGTATAATACATGCATTGATAAACCTAAAATTGTATGAATATTAATTTAATCAGAAACAGTTTGGCAAAAGAAAAATTAATTACCTATAAAAACTAAGACATTTAAAAAAAAAGCTATAATATATGGGCCGTAGAGGAAACTACTAGCTTCACGCTTCACCCCGTCTCCTAGTTTGGGTGAGGTGTTCGTGGTCACATTAATGGGCCTCATAAATAGTCTGTAAAAAACAAAGAAGAAGAAATATTGGTAATGAAAATTGGAAATTTAAATCTGACGGCAAAACAAACGTTGGCGGAAATTGTAGGTAAAATGGTGTGTCTACCAACTTTGCGTAGGCGGGACACCCTTATCGGGATTAGAGTATATGTGATTCGCTTATAATAGTTATAAGGAYTACGAATTAGAATAATTATCATTAATTATGGTCTTTTAAAAAATAAATGATTATTATTGTCGGAAACAATCGTATTTATTGAAAACATACTATGAAGGTGTGAAATATAAATACACATCCATATCATATTATATTCTCATTTCTCACATATTACTCTCACTTATCTCTATCAACCTATTATTTTAATATATTTGGTATACGATTCCGCAATATGATATGACCAAAATATACGATTGTGAATTATAACTCCTAAACATGAATCAACWGAGCAAGTAAACATTTAAAAAACAATTGCGATTAGAACAACTTATATAATATAACATGACGAATAAACCATTATTTAGACATWACATACCTATGTACAGTGTATTGCGATAGGTTAGATATTTGTCATCAAGTKTGCAAAAATCTGTGATTAGGATCGGACGCTGTAAAYATATATAGTTGAAAAGACGGTAGTTTTACGATGTGCCTCAAGCCCTCAACACTTTGATCAGGTGGACAACGAYGATCGTGTAGGTATTATAAATGTCAATAATAAATAAATAACAGGTAGGTATAAAATATAATATTTATATAGTAAGTTACCAAGAGCGTACAAGTGGGCGAATCATTCAGGGTTCGTTCGGACATCAGAATGTTTGCCATTTTGATGAACTGCGCYGGGTCGAMCGCCGCCTTGGCCGAATAATAACGATCGACAACAATAAAGTTCTGAAAGAGTATGCCGGTGAACACGATTAATGTAAATCGCATATCGTACCTATCCGCAACGAGAAACCAACCAAAATTAGGCGACAATAACGTACAATTATATCAAAAAAAGTGTATACAGCAGTAGAGCTTCGACAKTCCGGACTTCCGGTAATCCGGACGGCGCAGCAAAAGTCCATTTGTCCGTAAACATATTTTGKAGTTTTTTTGGAATTCCCGGAACCTAATTAATCTATAAAACATTGTCATCGACGGCAAAACAATTTCGTCATTTTTATTACCTTCTGTTCCGAGTAAACACTGGCAGTAATAAAGCATTGAGCTTCAAAGGCTCCATGTTGGTACGTTGATTAAGAGAACGCACTTTTGAAATTAAAATTTAAAGTGTTATTCAGAAAAAAATTACTGACTATACTATACTTAAGTTCTATATATTATTATAATTAATACACAATTTTTTTTTGTAATTCACTATACTAAAGTTACCTATTATTTTTGTAATTTAATGTGCCATAAATTAAAAATARAAAGTAGTAATTTGAGTAGGTATAATTTTGAAAAAATTTCGGTAATCCGGACGATGTTCGCTCTGAATTCGTCCGGACTATGGAGCTTTACTGTACTTAAAAAGCGCCACGTCGTCGTCGATTTATCGTACCTTTAAATACGTGTACATCCCCTTTTTTGATATTTTATCGATTCGCATCGGCGCAACTGATCAAATATTTAGTCTTACATAGGTAAACAACACAGAGTGAGTTATTACCGTTTTCAGCTAAAAACACTAAATTACTCWTTAAAAATTTAAGTTATATTATTTTGTATAGCCACATATGTATAAAATGTAAATATATAATAAAT